ATTTTGGTGAAATTTCATTTCATATACTTTGGGCATTTTGTCAAGCAAGGGCCAGTGCTTGGAAAAAGACATCATTTTGGAAATGGTTGAGGATCAGCAAAAAAGAAAACGACCCTCAACAAAATGGATTGATACAGTGACTGAAGCAATGAATTTGAGCATGGCAGAGATTGTGATGTGATACAGATTAGGGTAAGGTATTGGTCTGTTGTTAATAAGATTGCTATGAGTTGTAGTTGACAGCATGTAACAACAGTATCACCTTTTGCACTTTTGTCAATTTTTACAGTTGTTAGTAGCTATTAAGTCAGTTTCAATTCTTTGTTTTGCACAAAAGCACAAAACACTGTCCATTCATGCCCCATTCTGACAACATTACAGTTTAAGCCCATTGATTTTGAATGGGAGTGCTTTTCCAAGTCCTTTTCCAAATATAGCTTGAATTTCTCACAGTTCCCTGTTGATGTATCATCAGAACCTTTTAAAATTACCATGAGAAAAATTTTACTTGATAAATTCTCAATTCTTTTAATCGTCATTCTTTGGAATGCCTTCCAAATAGTTAGCCAAGTAGTTACATCCAAATCTCGGTGTGATGGAGTAAGCATTGGATTTATTTGTTGAAACAGCTTTAATTTGTAACCAATGAACTGCTAGAGGCTTATTCTTTACTATTATCTTCAATGCAGGTTGAACTTCTTGCTTCAGTATAGTTGATTCTCCATCATATACTACTTCTTGAAATCACTGAGTGTTGATGAGCTCCTTTTCATTGAATGTTGATGAGTTGCAGTACAGTGACTGTGTATTCCTTCAATTATATTTTTTAAAATTTTTTATTTTATATTGATTTGCTTACAAAGTTGGTATACATTGTGTTTCACTCTATTCTTCATTTACAATGTGTTTCATACTGTCATTCCCATGCTTTGTTTTATATAATTAGTCATAATTGGAGCTTGAATGGTCTTCTCACTAATAAATTTCATTTAATGAAATTGTTCACCTTCAAAGGCTTAGTAATAAAACATTGAACGTATATCTAGGAAACAGTTCACAAAGGTTTTTACAAAGAGCACACTAAGGTGGACGAAACTCCAACTGGTTTCTTCTTTGCAAATATTTTCCTGCAAGATCGTGGTCAAGAGGCATTTGCTAGATGTGTGCTTAATATTTGTCTATCATATGTAGAGAAGACAAAGACTCTCACCACTGGACCAATTGGCAGCGTCAGGATGGATGACGAAGAGATTGAGATTGTTCACAGCTTCAATTTGCTCAGCTCCACAGTCAACACTCTTGGCACCAGCAGTCAGGAAATCAAAAAGCATATCGCGATGGGAAAGTCTGCTGTTAGGGACCT